GATCTCTAAAGCATTGTGATCATGACATTAGCCAACAGATACGCAAGCTTTCCTATATCGAAGTTTGTTTTCTTTCCGGGGGCGCATAACTTTAATAACCACACCGCTGCAATGATTGCAGAGGGAACAAGGCATCCAGCTACTGGAATAATCAGACTTCATACAACACGTGACCTAGACCCTGCCATACATTGATACCAGAATCCTATTAACACTGAACCTTTTAGCCCACAGCCTTCTACCGTGAAGAACCCTCCATAGGAACCCTCTCAAGTCCCACAATTTAAAACCCGGGTGTCGATAGAAGGAGGAGTACGTGACGGTCTCACCAACCAGCGCTGGAGCTGAGCTGTTTTAATAGGAAGCAACGAGAAAAAGGCTTGACTGGCTACAGCATGAGCGTGTGCAAACACAGAATGGGACCAGGGAACTTTAAAGCCAAATTCAGCTGCATGCTTGGACTTCTGCACATAGAATGTGAATGAGTAGAGGACAACGCTGATGTTGCCAACTCCATCTAGGGGAAGCGTAGCCGGGAAAGGGTCCGGTGGGGACACGGTCCAACTCCTTAGGTGCATTAATCAGGCCAATTGCAACGCAGCACCTCAACACATGAAAAGTTGCAAGCAGGAATCATCGTGCCCCTGGCAGTTGCCGGCGGCATAGCATCCCCACAAGTGTTCCGACAAGTCATGACCTCAGCCATTGCCTCGTGCGCCCTCCGTTCTCGCGATGGGCCTTTTGCTTTTTCAAGTCAGGCTTGGCCTGTTCCCGCCTGACCAGTCTCCTTCGATCTCTTGCTTGCCCTCGGCTTGTAGTTCCCGAGATTCTGGGCCCCAACTGCCTCATGAGAGGCTTCTTTGCCCTCATCGGCAAGGGCAGCCTCACTATATGGATTCACATGCCATGTGCTGGAAGCCTCCGCTGGGGCCTCGCGCACAGCCTCCTCATTAGCACCACTGGCAGCAGATCCTTGGAAAAGGGCACGCTTTGGCTCCTGGGTTTCACATGTAGCAAGCTCCTCCAAACCCTTCACAGGGGTGGGGCTAAACATATTCTCCGCCGGGAATGGACTCGGGGTTGCTGGAGTGCCATACATTGCCACCTTCACACTGCTCCGGGATGGGGGTGACTGCTGACTCTGCACTTCTGGGGCGCAAGGGGGGTTGCTCAACAGCTGCTTTGCAGGCGTGAAGCCCAACAGGCCAACTTCTGGATCCTGTCCAGAAGTGAAAACCACCTCCGTGTCGTAACTGCTACCAGGTCCAAACCACTGATTTGCACTGGCGCCCTCACCGCTGCTGGTTGCACTCTGATGAATGACCACAGGAGTCGCAATCTCCATGTCAACAGCCAATGCCGACGGCTTAACTCTAGCTGCGCTATCCGGAACCATATCAAGGGCCCAGCTTTGAAACGCCCCCTCCCCTTCACTGGCAATCTCCATGTGAACAGCCAATGCCGACGGCTCGTGAACCCCAACTGCGCTCTGATCTGAAAGGCCAGCGCTCGGCACAGTCCCCTCCCCTTCATTCGCAATCTCCCGCATGTCAACAGCCAATGCCGATGGCTCATGAACCCTAGCTGCACTCTCCATATCATCGGCGCAACTTGGGACCATCCCCTCCCCTTCCGTTGGAATCTCCGAAGGGCCAGCCCCCTTAACTTTGCACACCCTAGCCATGCGAAGCTTCAACTCATGAAACTCATCAGCCTCACGAGTTGCCTCCTGTGCCCCAAACATGATCTCGTTTTCCAGGCCTGGCCCGGCCGCGCTCTGAGCATCTGGGACAGGGCCAGTCTTCGAGACTGCTTTCTCCGCATTGGAGGCCGCAGACTTTTTGCTGGCATCCGCATGTGCTTTCACAGCCTCCAACGGAACCAAATGTCTTGCAAGCGTGCAGGAAAAGACTGGGAACTCACTATCATTAAGCAATTGTGAAGCTGAGGCTGGAACAGCAATAATACCACTATCTCCAGACTTCTTGGCTGCCCTCTTCAGCACATCCAGCGCCTTGTCCTGGCAACACTGACCTATAATTCAAGCAGACCCTGAGCAAAACATCGTCTCTCACAGGTAAAACATCACACGCCAGCAGAACTTGCCATATCTAGTCACACGGTTTGAATGTCATGTCCTGCTTCGAAGCAGCTCGCAGCTTCCACTGCTGGTCACGTAGGCCTCCTAGCACAAGGTCATCCGTGCCCAGGAGCTCCTCAACGTTGCCACGGAAGTGTAAGTAGGAACCCTCCGGCATCAACGGAGCTCGGTCCTCCACACATGCCAATGCAAGTAGCAATGACAAGGTACTTGTATGGACTCACAGCCCACTCCTTGAAGGTTCCCACGGTGGAGGGCTCAGCATTCTTCTCAACACCAGAAGACTCAACATCTTTCACCTGAAGTATCCAAGGAATAAGACAAGAATAAGTTGAATTTCCTGATTTAGTTTCCCAAGCAACCTTGTCCACATGAATCTTCACGTCAGAAGCCACCGGCTTCTCATCGCCAGAAGAATCGGAACCAATCTCCATACAGGCGGGCTCCTCATCAGAGTCCAGGATCTCCAGAGCCTCAGGCTACACATTTAAAAGTGCGAGGGCTGAGACTGTCATAATGGCAGCAAGACTGGTAGTGGCTGCTGCTGCTGCTGCTGCTGCTGCTGCTGCTGCTTTGGCTGCTGCTGCAGGGGTACTTGGATTCAACATTCTGGGAACTTAGATTTCCTAGTCCTATCTCAGCCAAGCAACACTCATTGCTGCCTGTTCTTCGGCAATATCTTCGACTGCTTGCGCCGCATCAAAATCAGGGTCATGATCTTCAAGGTTCCAGCAGGAATCAAGCGGAGCCACGTTTTGTTCAATTTCCTGAACCATATCCTCCAGACCCCGAACTGCATAAAGCAGCTTCTTCAGCACCAGAACCTCCGGCAGCCTCTGTCAAATGATGCAAGCATGAATTCGAAACCAGTAAAACTCACAACACCACTCCAATCTTCTGCGTCCAAAGCTCTTTGCCCGAGTGGTCCTCTGAGCTAGGCGGATCAAATAGGCCCCTAGCAAGCGAAGTCGAGAGCCTTGTAGCTCTGCCCACGCCTTAGGCTTGACAGGCTTTTGTAAAAACAAAGAACGTCTGCAGTCTTCACTATCTCTGTGCAAAATCTGCAACGCTGCAAAGATTCTCGCACTCCTCCTTTGCTCCCCTTTTTCTTGAAGAAACTGGCTGGCCACAGGCCGAAAACCACTGCCACATGTAGCAGCGCAGCCTTGTGTGCGCACATGCAATGTAGAGATTGAGAAAAGAAAAAATCACATTAACACACACAGAAGCTGTCCTATGCACTTCGTTCAGGCTCATCCCTGCATTTCCGAAATGCATGCAAGTAGCCCGATGGTCACGCACTGACGGTGGATCAGAGCGCAAGCGTTCCACCACATACGCCTTCATCAGCTCAAAATTGGTCAGCAGATCCTTCTCGCAGACCTTATTTAAAGCACAATTAGCACACATATCAATACTACAATTCGACCATTCCCCATACGCCAAGCAGCCTTGTGGTCAATCATTGGAATGAGATCCATATCCTGCAACAGATTCTAGATGGAGGGCTAACACACAAGGAAGGAAAGGACAAATTCAAGAAGCTCAATTCCAGTCCCAATTTGTCCTTATCATCACGAAGGGCCACAGCGCGCTGCTCAGCAAAGCCCTTGATCCCCTCAAAGATCAATTGCGCCTCCACCTGAAAACGCAACACAGATGGACAAAGGAACATCGACAGCACTGCCAGCAACTACACACAAGCACCTTGCTGGAAACTCAAACGCCTGCCCAGAAACAGTCAAGCTGTAACTCAACGGCTTCTGGAAGTGCAGGGTCATGGCTATGCAACGCCCCAACAGATCAGCAGCTGAAACCTATATGGCCAAAATCTGGCCGGACAAAAAAATGGGAGCTCACAAGATCACAAGCTGCAAGGCTGACATCGCACACAGACTGCACACAAAGCTGCTAGCACCGCAGCAGTTGGGGGGGAACACCTCCTTGCTGGTGGCGCTGCGCATAGTGGTGATGAAGTCGGAGCGCACGCCCCAACACCATAGCGCAGACAAGTTTAACCCACAAAGTTTAGCCCCATAGCGTGTCTGCAATCATTACAGTGGGACTTCCTCAGGCCTTGGTAGCATGTTCGCCTATAGAAGTACTGGTGAAACCTTGAACAAAACCACCCGTTTTCCAAACTACTCCTAGATATGGGGAATACTATTCAACCACAACCCCGAAGAGAGCGCAAAACATATGTCAAACCTGGTCCCTTTTTGGCATGTTCTTCCCAGGCAGGACTTAAGCCCAAAAGCCTTGCTGGGCAAGAAGTCATCTCCTGGCTGAAACTGAGCAAGCCCTTACCCAGGGAACACTTGGAGACTCAGGGTAAGAGAGTCTGGAAAGGAATTCCTAGACTAGTCTAATTAGCCTGGATCCCTACAGCCAAGTTCCTAAAAAGCAACATGGAAGCTTCCATGAGCAGAGGGCCCAATGTAAGACTTATTCTAGGGACTTCCGAATGGGGCCTTCAGATTGTTGTAAATCCCCACACGGTTTAGGGTTTAGGGTTGAGGGTCCGCTGATAACGTTCTCGCACTTTGGAAGCAGCTCCCATTGGATGACCGCTTCAACAGAACACTAAGCTCTGAGCCCCAGAACCTGAAAGCCTAAACCCTCTCAGCAGCCACCCGTTTCGAGTTCCCGTACTTGGAGGTTCAGGGCGATGAAACCCAATTACACATGGTAATGACATCCCAGTCCGCATCATATTCGGGTCTTACAGTTGGGCCATAAGTACAGCTACACATATTCAGGTTTGAATTACCTTGAACCTCGAAGAAAAATCAAACTCTAGACGCTGGACCGCTAGACGCCAAGGTTTCGTATGCGGTGCCCGCCTGGCTCCAGTTAAGCAAAGTAGGTCGTTCATATTTTGAGGGGCAATTGCCATGAGATGAAGAGGCCTGTCAAATGTTGTTTGCTCAAACTGCGTACCTTGGGCGCTCCAGAACGTACGTATAGGAATTATCACGTGATTATGGGATGTTCAGGACCCCCTAGTACATTCAATGGTTGTCTTTGAGAATGCTGGGTCCGTTCTTGCAGGGTCTCAGACGTCATGTTTCAAGGAGAAATATCAGAGTCAGTCTTCCGGAAGCTATGGGCCTTGGAACTCTTTCTGGTATCCGACAATGTTTTACGCCCAGGGGTTTCCAACCCGCCCTCACCTCCGTCAAAAGTAACATGGAGACCCATATGTGTTAATTTTAGCCTTATTAAGGGATCCTTAACAGTGGACTTCGGGTCCCTCTTGTAGTCCATTAATTATGTAGGAAATAATGACTCTAGCCCACATGATCGCCTTTTGGCGTTGCATGTTAGCTTGTCAACGGCAAGCCCTGGCATGTGCATTGGCCTAGCTGCCGTTCGAATTCCTCAGCTTTCCATGCAGCATACCAGCACAAGTCCTAAATAACCAAAATATAAGCTAGGCGCCGCGGCTCTACAATCTAAAGCCTTGGTTGCCTTTAAGGGACAGAAACTAAGTTGCCAATCCCTATTCTGGTAACTTAAGTTCGTTAACAGCAATTCAGCAAAGTGGGACTAACGGGTTGCAGGCTCGGGTTTTGGAGGCATGAGCTGGGCAGCTGTTCAAATCGATTCGTCCCTGTTTGCCAAGAGACGTAATCTTCACCAGACTTTCAAGAAGAGTTGAGTAGACTTTAAGGGGCTGAAGAATCAGGGTTCCACAGGATTTTTCTGGTGTGTGTGTGTGTGTGTCTCCAAGAGTTTAGGATGCAAGGATACGGGTTCCGCGTTGGTGGATCCTTCTCGCTTGTTGCTATACCTAAACCTAGGTCCTGAACCCCGAAATTTACTGGCTCTTTCCATTGGCAGACGGTCGTGTCCTAGGGAAGGAAACACTTGTGTATAACCAGGTTCTGACCTGTGTGCCCCTCTTGCTAGTGCTTCGTAATATATGCCTACCTAGGTTCAGCCAGGGCTTACTTGGAAGTGCGTTGTACTTATAACCTAATTAGTAATTGTAGTTATAACCGAATTAAAAGCCCCATAACTACAGTTACCCTAGAGATACTTGTGCTATATCTATAGTTACTAACTAGGTTATAAGTACAACGAACCTCCAAGTAGGCATGTGGAGGACAGATTTATCTGCCCAGCAAACCGAACCCTAAACTCCGATTCCTGGCGAATGGTCTGGGGGGTTATATACGGATAATGAAAAAGATAACAGCGACTACTATACTGGGGCTATGTGGGGGTTATTATAGGGGTTATATATAGGGGTTATGATAGGGTACCCAATGTTTAGGGTTTCGGGTTTGGGGTGGCCATTTGCGTGCAGCCAGGGCATATCAGGAACAGTATTAGGGATTTTGGGGAGAGTGCTGTAGGGGTTAGGTGGACCCCCCACCCTGTAATAGTGGTATAATAGGAATATAAGAGGACCCTAATATAATTACTAGTATCCCTTATAGTCACTATTACAGGTGGGGGGTCCTCCTAATGTAGGGGTCCGCGCCTTCCCAACCCATCACCATATAGTAGTTTCCATTTTCTTTTCCATTATCCCTATATAACCTTTATCATACCCCACATTCTATCTACTTAAGGGGGACTATAACCCCAATATATACCCAATTACAGAACATGCACTCGTTGGTAGCTGGTGCCAAGGAGACAGGGATTTGTGGGGTCCTCCGAAGCACGCGCACTTCCAAGGATGCCGCAAAAGGGGCACATAATAGATTGGAAATGCCTCCCTCAAAGCATAAACTCTCAACAACCCTACCCTAACTCAAAAACTCAAGTCAAAAATCTCTAAATCCCAAACTCCAAACCCTAAACCCTAATCCCTAGACCCTAAATTCTAAATAGTAGTTTCGATTTGATTATCCATTATCCCAATATAACCTTCATAAATCCCTCAACATCCCTAAGCCCTAAACCCGAAACCCTCCCAATGAATCGCAGGGTTGTTTGGGCTTTGGGGCCATGCCTGCGCAGAGCTCAGCTTGAATCAGCTTTTCTTCGGGAAGCTCAAACTCAGACCTTGGGGGCTTCAAAATTTTGCGGGGGTGTAAGGTTTAAGGTTTAGGGTCGAGGGTTCAGGGTTTGAGGTTTACGGTTGAGGTTTAGTGTTTCAGCTTTAGGGGGTTAGGGTTCAGGCAGGTAGTAACTATAGAACATATAGCCACAAGTAGGTCGTATTTTGGAACTTATATGGCCCAATAGATACTTTGTTGAAGATTGGAACTTATATGGAACTTATATGGCCAATAGATACTTTGTTGAAGACCTAAGGAATACAGGCTGGGTCAAGGGTTCCAGGGTGGTACCCCGATGGTCGTACCCCGAAAAGTTTTCCCGAATATGGCATTAATGCAGCGCGAAGAAAAGGTTTGGGGTCTAGGGTTTGGAGACTTATATAGAACCCTAGTAAGAACTGGTATGCTCCATACGCTAGTAGGAGCTTGCGTTCCCCGCTTGCACTTTCTCGGGGATACTTTCCAGAAATAGGTGGCCCCAAAATGAATACTTTATACCTGAGCTATTTTTAGTGCAGTTGGCGATACAGTTAAGTTCCCTAACAGCAAGCCAGACTTGCTGATGGCTGGTTGAGAAAAAAGATGGGCATACATAGTAAACACCTGGATTTTTTCTTGAAAGACCTCAATCCCCAAGCGATATGCCCGCGAACTACAGCCCGCAACTCTAAACGATCTTAAAGAATCCTTAGCAGAAGCCCTCAACCTTCAACCCCTAGAGGTAAGTAATGTGGACGAGGTTTATGGTTGAGGGCTTGAGGTTCCGGGAGTAGGACGTCTAGGGTTCAGGGTGCTGGAATGTCAAACGGGACGTGATCTCGATGAATTATAGCTATAAAAGACACACGCTCCCACAAATGCTGCTAATCGTCGCGCTTTTAGCCCTTCTGCCAGACGAGTCCGCTTAGGACCACAAACACTACTTCCTCTAAACCCAAAAGCGAGCCTGTAAGCGCCACATGACCCCCAAAAGCAAGGCTACAAGTGCCAAACCCTGGCTCCTAAATCCCTAAACCCTAAACATTACACCCTACACCCTGAGAGTTTCCAAAGATCAGGGTTCCCTTGTCCATAAAAAGTCACAGGGAATCAGGTCTGTAGTGCGGCGATATTAGGCCCTAATTTTGGAAAAAGACCGCATGAGCTATAGTCTAAACTCCTTAAAGGAGGTTCTATAGGGCACTGTATAAGGGAGCTTTATAGGGGTTATTCAGGAGAATACTAGGAGTTTAGATGCTAAACACTACACTCTAAGCCCTAAATACTGGATTATAAGGGTTATCACATGGGCTACGAGGAGTTCAGACGAAAGCTCCTATAAAACCCTTTACAAAACCCTTTATAAAACCATATAAAACCAAATAAAACCCTCTGTAAAGCCTATAAATATTAAGCCCTTTATAGAACCCGATAAAACCCTATAAAACCCTTTATACAACCTTAAAAGACCCTATGAAACCTTACAAAACCCTATATATATATATACACATATAATGGCTAGCCAAAGAGCCCTACCTTGACATTGGGCTCTATTCGCAGCCTTCCCCGTCACCAGGCACGAGCCCGCACCAGCACCTGCAGATAAGCCACAAAGCAAGCACACTTGCTAGGGGGGTTGGTAGGGTTTGGGGTTTAGGGTTTAGGGTTTGGGGGTTAGGATTTCACAGTCAAGAACACATTGAGAGGATGGCGCGGGGCTGGGCTTCATAGCCATATACCTTGAGCCTAATTCCGGACTCTGAATTCATGGAGCCTAACCGCCTCTGCTTTTCTACTTAGGTTCCCACTTGAGTAGGCTTATACAGGAACTGTTCAGGATGAGGAAGCCCATTCTGAATCCGACAAAGCCCTTAGTTTGCCTTAAGCCCTAAGTCCTGAACGTTAACCCCTAAACTCTGAACCCAAATCCCTGAACCTTTGAATCCTAAACTCTAAACCCTAAACCCTATCCTGGTGCAGTTTAAGGGCTTAGGGTTTTTGGGATCCTCTGAGGCTCAAGGCCGGGGCGTTGGGTCCAAGCACCTGGGCCAAAACAAGGCGCGGGTGGAGGGAAGGTATCACCCAGAGGGTCCACATATACAGCTATTAGGGAATTGGGACCCAGAATTCCTTCTATAGTATGGTATTTGGGGGCCTAATTCCCTAATAGTTGTATATGTGGACCCTCTGGGTCAGTATCATTTTGCATCGTGCTGGCATTCGTATTTTTATTCTTATTGATCATTTTGTTGTTATCAAGATTAGCTCTAGTACATTTGTGGGTAATAGTCTTATAGTCCTAGTAGTCGTAATGTAATTATTTGTAGTAGAATATTTGTGTGTAATCGTGGTAGAAGTAGTGATAGCAATAGTAGTGGTAGTAGTACTAGTAAGAACAAGGGTAAAAGTGATAGTGATAGTAATAGTCGTCGTGGTATGAGTGTTAGCTGACCTAAGGATATATAGGAGTTTATGCGGGAATGGAACTGAACATGAAAGCACTGTGTGTAGGGTGCATTATACGTATTAATGGTGGGTAGTGGGAATGGGGAAATGAAAGCAGTGGCAGAACTCAAGGCCACCGTTCCCGTTACAAGTGCTAAAGCTACAGTTGTTGTTAGCATTTCTGCTTCTAGCACAAAAAACATTATCACCACTATTCTCACTAATTACTCGCACAGGACACAAAATCTGCGAGCAGGGTTTAAATCTCAGGGTTTGGACTCAACCCGGATTGGGCCCTGAGCCCTAAACTTTCAAAGCTTCAGACCATACGCGCGGGAGATTAGGGTTTAGGGTTTAGGGCTTAAAGTTTCAGGGTTTGGAGATTAGGATTCAAGGTTTGTGGCTTAAGGTGCAGCTTAGGGGACTTCGTGATTTATGTGTTTTATGTTTCGGCCTTCGGCTTTGCGAGTACGCCCTCTCATACACGTTGAGAGCTAGCATCTGGCAATCTTTGTACAGGCTGAGGATCACGGCTTCCCCGTCGGGACTTTCTCTGGATCCCCTGGACAGAATCGCACTATGAAGAGTAGGCATGTTGCGGCTAGAGTTTAGGGTTTAGGGTTGTCACGACATGCTGGGCAAAACCCCAAAGCTAGGGGGGTCCCTCTACAGGATCCCCCCATAATGAAGATCGCAACCTTTTTGTGGATTTTTTCGGGGGCCCCCTATTCCTGGCAACTTCCATACTGGGGATTGTGGTGCATTTCCCTAGACGCATTAAGGTACGGGTCCCTGCACCAGGTGTCTCATTATGATTCGGATCGCTTTAGCAGTAATTTAGGCCAAGTCCCCTAATTAAATTCAACTCACCAAAATATTCCTCGCCTGGTGAGTTTCTACCAGGGCTCCTGATCCGGGCTTCGTGGCTAGCCTCGTATCGCAACTCGTCTGAAAGCGTGAGAATGGGCACATAACTGGCGGGTTTGAGGATATTTAGGGTTTGGGGATTAGGAAGATTTTGGATGCAGTGCTTCGGGTTGCAGATTTACGGGGTAGGCATGGGATCCTAATAAGAAGCAAGCCTCTTATGATGAGGATCCGCGAAATTCTGACCTTCTTTGGTTTTTACCATTTGCCTTAGCCCTTTGAGACCGATCCTCCACAAAGTCCTCTGCTAGGAGACGAGGTCATGATTCCAGGCCTGCCAATCTTTCCCGAAGAAGCCCTAGATCAGCATCGGCACTTTCGTAGGTGAGAGAAGATCCTAATACAGACAGCTGTTGGGAAGTTCTGCTGACTAGTCCGCGTCCAGCAGCCATAGCATAGTTCAAGTAAAAGCACAGGAGAGCCGATAGCTTTAACCCTGTAGACTCTAAGCTGTAAGCCCTAAGCCCTGAACCCGCAAACCTCAACCTCAAACCCTCGGCCCTAAACCCTGGCCCTAAAGACTAAACCCTAAATTTCAACAAAGCCCTCAAAATCCCTGAGCACGCAGTAATCTTCACAACAGCTAAAGCTTTGATGTCTACTCAGCTGGACCATCTCCAGGTTGCACCCTTAGGGTTTAGGGCTTAGGCCGCAGGAAACCCTCATACTCTATAACCCTGCATACCCTAAACCTGCATGTACCCTAAACCCGAAGATCCAAGAACCTTCTGCACTAAAGCTTAACTATGCATTTAAGGGTCCAAGTACCCATGAAGCATGCACTTCCCACCACTTGTACCAAAAAGCACCCAAGTCTGAAGTGCTTACCTCTTAGGTACTTAGACCCTCCCCCAAACACTAAACCCTAAATCCTAAACCCTAAACCTACCTCAAACACCCAGGTATCATCAAGAAATGCTTGCGAAGGCTGTGGCCAAGCTCTCCAGCGGCCCCACTGGCTCTGTTGCCAGAGGATAGAGTAAGAGCTTAGGGTCTAGAATTTAGGGTTTAGGATTTAGGGTTAGGGTTAAGGGTTCAGGATCTAAGATGCAGGGATTAGGGTTTAGGATTTAGGGTTTCAGGGGTTTTTAGGGTTGGGATTTCGAGTCTAAGGGGTCAGAGTTCGGGGTTGAGACTCCAAGATTTAGGATTTCAAGTTAGGGTTTCGAAGTTTAGGCTGACATCCCTAATCCAGGGTCCTTGATAGATACTCCTAGGAGTGGGCAAATCTTGGGTCGGTTCTTGGCCCTGATGAAGGGGTAGTTCCAACCTTCCTTAGGGTCTTCTTGAGGGTACACAGATCTGCCCCACAAAGCTGTGCTAGGCACAGAATTTTGCCTTGGGTCGGTGATCTGTACCCAGCCCGTACAAATGCTCCAAAGGACCCAGCCAATCTTCTGAGGCCGAGCAACATGAGATGGCCAGATTTCCATGATTCCAATGTCCTTAGGATGTCTTCCAACGGTTTAGGGGTTGGGGTTGTTGGTCTAGTGAAGGGCCAAGAAGCCGCTAGTCATGTGCTTCGGGGTTTGAGGCGATAAAGTTCAGAGAGCCGGGGCGGGCCTGCCGCTCAGTCAAGCACTTCTTTTTTTTTCCCGACGCTTCTTGTCGCAGTGAGCTTGCTTTGGTCCAGTTACGGGTTTAGGGTCACAACGGCACTGTTTTGGATGGGAGGCCCAGGTCTTGGACGAGCCGCCGAAAGTTGGGTTTGTCAGACCGTGGAAAAAACCTACAGGCCATATGACAAGGACCCATCAGTTTGCAGGGTCAAGAACACCTGCTCGCAGCTGCCTCAGCCAGAACAAAGGCTTACTGTAGGCGCTAAACTTCGTTTATTGGGAAAAACCAAACATCGAAGCCTGAATGATTATTCGGGTTTGTAAGGTGTTCATGTATCATTTTGGTGTAACATTACCGCCAAAACCCGATTATAAAAGTTTACTCAGAGAGCCCAATACGCGCTATGTAGGGATATGCCTCGAATTATGCACCTAAACCCTAAACCCTAGACCCTGATTGTAAGGAGTCTTCCTTGATTAAGGGGTATGGGGCTCTCTGCGGTGTAGGGGATTTCTAGAACACACTGGCGGAGTCAATATACATTCCAATACACAAGAGTCTTCATTATATGAGAAATGCTCAGAACCACACCTGAACCCCATAAGCATGTAGGATTGAAGCCTCTTGGGTGTTGTTTATGGGTTGATGCCTTTGAGCACCTAAACCCTAAACCCTAAATCCTAAACCCTAAACCCTAAAAACCCTAAACCCTAAATCCTAAGCCAGGTCGACCATTTGCCGATTGGATCTTCGAGGCGAGTCTCGGACGCTGCTACGCACCTTACGCCCCCAAAGGACTTATTCTAGGCTACATATATATATATATATTTATTTATGAGCTATAGTCTAAACTCCTTAAAAGGGGGTTATATAGGGGATTATATAGGGGACTACTATAGGGCCATTACGGGGGGATATATATGGGGGTTTCCGAAAATTAGGGGTACCATTTTGGGGGTCCCAATAATAAGGACCATAGTATTTTGGGGGTCTATATTGGGGTCCCCCCATTTTGAGAAACTACCATATATGTTTGTATCTATTTATTTATTTATGGTACCGCCCCTCGATCCAGCTGGACCATGTTTCCAACGAAAATACCATGGTGTTCAGCAGCATATGTTCAATGACCTTTTCATTGGCTAGTGGATTTTCCTCTTCATGGGATCATATTATTTCAAGGATCTCCATACTCATCATCAAAGATCTATATGGGATTTCAGTGAGTCATAGGATTCCGGTTTGGAAGGTGAGCTTGGCTTATATGAATTCAATTTGAAGCTTAATTCAAAACGGAAACTAACATCATGTAGTCTTGCATTTCCGATTTCGAGTCCTCGTTCTAATGAGCTGTAATGAGGAAATTTCTAAGGGTCAGCACCCAGGATCCAAAATCCTGGATTTCCGATGTCGAATCTCCATTCTAACGATTTAAAAGGAAATCAATAAGGGCCAGGACCCATAATCCAAAATCCTGGATTTCTAGCTAGATTTCACAAGAAGTTTATCAAGGGCCAGGATCCATAATCCAGAATCCTGGATTCCTGATTTCGAGTCTCAGTTCAAGGGATTTCATGGTCCAGAACCAAAAATCCAAAGATCGAACAAATACAAGAAATGTAGGGGTGCCACAAAAGTTTGTTTGTTGGATTTACACCGTGTTTTGGAGGCTTTTGTGATTTTTCCAAAGACCACTGTGGCTTTTCTTCAGGATGTTTTAAGTTTCGGAAAGACCTGGTAATCCAAAGCCCTAGGGTTTGGGATTTCAAGCTTTCTCTTTCATTCCTAATTGGATTTGAGAAGGAATTTAATTAAAGCAAAGCCACCTCCAAAACAAGAATTCCAGGATTCCAAGATTCCCCTTCGTTTTCTGTGAAGGTCTTAGGAGGAATTAATATAAGCCAAGAAGCCGCCTCCAAAACTAGAATTCCAGAATTCCAAGATGCACCTTTGCTTTCAAATACGTGTTTAGAGCAATGTCTATAAAAGCAAGGCCACCTCCAAAACTACAATTCCAGGATTCCAAGATTTCTCTTTAGTTCCTAAGTGGATTTTCAAAAGGAATGTATATAAAGCAAGGCCACCTCCTAAACTAAAATTGCAGTATCCCAAGATTTTTCCTAGAATTCCTAATTGGATTTAAAAAGGCATCTATATTAAGCAAAGCCACCTCCAAAGCTGGACTTCCATGATTCCAAGATCTCTCTGCAATTCGAGCTTCGATTGTAAAAGGGATTTGTGTACAAGAATTCAATTAATCCAAGATTTGAATTTGAGTTGAGACCAGACTTTAGAAGGAGTTTATAGTCATGAGGACCTGTGTGAGCTGGATCGAGGGGGGGTTGGGGGGTTAGCATATCTCTATATGTATATATATATATATATTTATTTATTTATTTATACTGGGGTTTAGGGTTTAGCTGTTTAGGGTTTGAGGATTTAGGGTTTGGGGGTTTAGGGTTTAGAGCTTGGGTGTCCTACCATTTCGGTGGTTTCCATAAGAAAGATTATAGTATTTTGGGTGTCTATATGGGGGTGCCCATATTTTGGGAGATTACCGTATATGTTTATATGTATATGGTAGATTCTATAAGGTTATACAGGGATACATACGGCTCTCTAGGTTTATGTTGGGGTATGTGGGGATCAGGATTTGCAAAATCAGGGGCCTGCTTGTTGGAGCTCCGATGATAGGGGATACTGTCCATTGGGATGCACTTTGAGGTCCCCTCGTTTTGGAACCCCTGAATGCCTGAACTCCTCAAGCCTAAACCTTTACCCCCCCATACTGTTTGCGTGGCCGTCGTGGTTGAAGAGAGGTGTAGATGTCTCGAATCAAAGTCGTCGGACCCCAACAGATCAATCCCGAACCCAAATGCGCTACAATTCTTTTGTTGGGAATCTCATACGGGGCCATGGTCGTTTTATTCATGCATAAAACCAGGGAGTGGATCCTTTCTAGATAAACACCCGTTATCATCGTTCCTATATTCACTCCCCCACCCTCTTAAGTACCAAGAAGAAGTAATCGCTGTACCTTACAACCCCACATAACCCCTACACCACCCTAAACCCTTGAACCCTTCAGCCCTAAACTATAATCTTTGTACCGGTAAACCCTTAAACCCATTAGTTCATAATTTTGGAAGCCTGGCAGGTGGATACAACCACGCTGCCCAAAGAAGTCCCATTGAGCTGGCTGCAGAACGCCACCAAGGACTTCAGGGGTTAGAGATGTGGGGGATTTTGGGGTTCAGGATATTAGGGCTTAGGGAGTGGGGGCCTAGGGTTCAACAATTCGTCTTAACATCAGGCGTATAGATCCCTAATCTCAATTTATGTCTATTTTTGCCTCATAACTCAGAAGCATACAGATGCAGCGCAGTATACCCCCCAATCCGTATTACATTTGTTTAGGCTCCTACATCAGACTTTCGTCGGGGGATCCATGTAATCGGGGCAGATCAGTTCATGCATTTTGCGACATGAATTGGCAGAGACTCGCTCATGTGCACCCATGCAGCATGGTGAGCCCTAGTTGGCAATATTAAAACCTCTAGCCAGAATTTATAGGACTTATAAGTATGCTCATCCCCATCACACGTTGTTTATGGGCCAAGGTAAAGCAGACCAAGGGGCGCATTCCTTCAGGCATTCTGAAGAAGTTGAGGTCGAGGAGCCCTACGAAACGATTTAGGTTTTGGTGTTTAGGGGTTTGGGGTCTAGAGGTTTAGGGCCTTAGCAGTTGAGGGTTTAGGGGTTCAGGGCTGTCGGGTTCAGGGCCGAACCCACGTCTGCACCCTGAACTGTTCGTACTGAACCCACAATAGTTCTGAATCCTTCACCCTGAAACCTTAAACTCTCAAACCGCAAGCTAACCCCAAACCTCACAAAACCCGCAGAACCTAAAGTTTAAACACCAAGTTCATGAATCCCTAAAACCTAAGCCCTGAAGTCTAAAATGAGTCGCCCGCTACACTGGGTTGCAGTTAAGTAAGTTAAGTTAAGTTATTATAGCAAGAAAACCCTATCATTCATTATATCCTCACATTGTGGTAACTCAAACCCTAGACCCTAAACATTATTTATATAATGGAAGCTTAGCTTCACTTGCTTAACAGACCGCAGTACAGTACAGGATAGCGCATCGGCTCAGTCCTCTCTACAAGACGTGCCTGGGCTCCTGTGATTCCAGAGCCCCTCCAGTTTGTAATGTAACAGGGTTTCGGGCTTAGGGTTTATAGGGTTTTGGGGAAGGGAAACAGAAAAGGCAATACTTTCTAGGGTTTGGGTGTTTCCTGTCCCTACACCCTCAACCCTAAACCGCGTCTTCACGACCTTATCAGACCCCAGCCTGACTGGTGGTTTATTCAGAAATGGTAGTCTCCCAAAATATGGGTACCCCAATATAGACCCCAAAACACTATAGCCCTTATTGTAGGGACCCCCAA